AACGAAGAGATCTCCTAGACGTATTCGATAGTGATGAAAAGGCTGTATAGCTTGGATATAAGGTGTGGGTGTGGTGTAGTGTGTGTGTGGTGTGAGTGCTGGTGTGAGGTGTGGTTGTCGGTGTGGTTGTGGTCTGCTGTGTGTGGTGTTGGTGGCTCGTCCGGTGGTGACTGGGTGTTTGGTGAGGTGTGACGTCGAGGGTCGCCTGGAGAGAGAGGCGTGGTTCTAAAGGCTCAATTAAGTAAGCTGGAGCTAATGACTTTCGCATGCTTGAAACACAACTTCAACCACACAAAAGCCATAGTTCTCTCTATTCAACCGCACAATGAGCAGAAATGCCCCTCGTTGCTAGGCATCAGTTTTTGCAGTGCACGCAATCCGGCTAATTTCTTACAAAAACAGTTCCGTGTTAATTTACCGTGCCATTAGCAGTGACGCGACCCTTCACGGGGCATAGAGCTGTTAAGAACTGAGTTAAAAGAAGTAATAATTGGCCCCGTGTCGCCCAGCAAATAGCTGTGGCAATGGCTCCCATTCCCCGCGAAGCAAAAGAAAGAGCCGCATGGTCGATCGTAGTCTAACCCCACAGTTGCTAATATTGCCAGCGATGGTAACAGTAGCATATACACCCGGAGGCTAGGTGGGGCTCGGAAAAATTACGCCTAGGTACGTTCGCTTAGTTTAGTCTGTCTGTCTGCCTGCCTGCCTGCCTGTCTGCCTGCCTGTCTGCATGTCTGCCTGCCTGTCTGTCCGCCCGTCTGCCTGTCTATTGGAGATATGCAGTTTACCTAATTTAATTACCCCACTCGAAAATCAATCATCCCAACAATAAGATTGTATTCATTTAAAATTGATAAGCTAGTGCACGTAAAAGATTGCTTTGTTGCCTTGAAAACTTGCATAAATCCTGTAAACCTCTTATAATTTAATAAATTGTTCCGTATTTCACTTCCAAGTGGATTCAATGACAACAAAACAATCGCATACTAAGTTATTACTTGCCACGATTTCCCTATCATTACTAATCTAACCACCTCTATCTATATTCTTCTAGGCAATCCCACACTTGTCTTCGCTGCGGACCAGAGCGCATATTCTTCGTGGGTATTTGATCTCACAATACATACCAATCTTAGCAGATTCACGCCAGGATCATAGCACTGTATTGACTGACCGCCAGTACTATGAATTTATGGGGCGGGGCCGTCAGACGAGCTAACTGTACGCGCGTGGTTAACAGCAGAGTAATATCCCGCGCCTCAAACACGCGTGGCGGGAGTTGGTTACGGAATTCCACGGAAAGGAGTTGTTTAAAATTGGTTATTTCATCTGGCGTCTATGAATGCACAAAGGCATTCCAAAAATTATAATCGCAAACAGTAATTAGCTTTGATTATAGTTTGAGGTTTGCACAATTATATTCAGCTCGACTCGCATGTGAAAGTGGCCACTGCCACCTACTTCCACCTACTGCACGCACGCACGCACGCACAAACACACCCTCCCATACACACACACGCACCAGCGCCAACCTGTGCACATGTGAGTCGACACCGGATGCACCAAACTGGCCTTCTGCAGACTAAAGACACATACACACACGCACACAGACGAGTTTATATCTCCCTGAGCATTCGCAGTCCTGGCATACCGGCAACCTTCTACACGCCATCCCACGAGGACTAACCACGTCTCCAGATGTGGGCGGCTGGCTGGCTAGCTGGCTTGCCCAAACCTGTATCACGGGCCACATGCTCAATATTGCTAAGCTTCCACAACCCATTGCCACTCCAACCCCAGAGCACACGCGTGTGTGCGTGGGAGTCGCCAGCGTGGTGCTCTCCTGTGATGCTGCTACGCTCTTAAACGACGCTGCTATGCTTAGAAAATAGAAGATCATCACTAATTAGTAATTACCACTAATGACCTTTGAGATGTGATACGCAGATAAGTGCAACGTTGGCGCAGTTTGTGCCACACCCACACATGCCAAGATCTACGGTTTTTTAAATAAGCTCAAAACAGGACCTGTACTGAAATCGCATAGGTTAGCAAAACAGGATTGGATCGCACGCAGGTGCGAGCCCGGGGTGAAATCTCAACACACCAGAGAATATAAGAATTTACCTGCCAGGAGAATCGTACTTCCTGACGGATTATGCACATTACTAACCACGCTAAGAACAGTGCGGAAAAAGATAATGGAATGTTTCTCGCTCTACGACAAAGGACCTGTTGTTGAGCGAGTTAGTGTGGACTGCTATGGCGTTACATCAACCTCTCGACGCGCACATATACATAGTCCATCGTCACGTGGTCAATGAACTGTTTTACGAGATGATAACAAGTTCCAACCCACGCACGCACACACGCACGCACGCACCAGCTCGCGGCAGGAACTCGCTCTACCGATGTATCAACTTCGCTCCCACTACAGGGAGAGGGATAGGGGGCGCTACAAGGAGTATAGGGGGATCCCGCTACAAGGAGGGGGGTCCTGCTAGATGGAGTATAGGGGGTGTCCGCTGTAGCGGGAGTGAAGCAACTACAGCGGTACACCGTACAGCTAGGTAGCGTCTTACTTACGCCACGGTTTGCAACCTTCGCCCCTTCGCTACATAAAAGCATCGGGTATACGCGGCCAGACCCTGCCATTCACACTGCAACCACTCTGCATCATTGTACATCAGACGCCGCCACATCCGTGACTGCTACTATACACTCACCCACTCTATTACCCCCACGCGCACCTTCACAGCCTATACTGCCTCCCTCTACGTACTACTCCCATGCGTATACTCCCCCTGCGTATCGCTCGCGACTGCCTGACCTTCCCACCACGGCAGAAACAATGTCGTAAAACGTGGTCACGCCGCCCAGCCTATCCTTGGAACGCCGCCGCCGCCGCCGCTGCCGTACTATATACCCGGCTACTTACGTAGTTCCCATTTCATACAGTTTAATTTAATACAGAAAGACGAGGCACGGCCAAACAAGCTTGAACACGCAAACATGCGCCTGTCGAGCGACCATGCCACGTATATATGTTGCACTGGCCGCTGTAAGCCGAGGAGGGGGGAAACCAGTTCTTCCACCACCGCCGCGATCAGACATTCACGTGGTGTGGTAAGAACCCGACTGAAGTGTGCAACGATATTGTGCACCCCACACCCACTCTCCCTCCCTCCCTCCCCCTCC